CATATACACTGCCACATTTGTGTGTGTGTGTGTGTGTGTGTGTGTGTGAGAGAGAGAGAGAGAGAGAGAGAGAGAGAGAGAGAGAGAGAGAGGGGGGGAGGGAGCAAGGAGGGGAGAGAGAGAGGGGCTAGTGGTTACCCACCTCGCAACTTTGTGACCTGAAGCGTCGCTCCTCCGGGTGCTTCTTCGGCTCCTTCACGGAGACTGCAGTGCCCTGGCTATGGCTGGACGCCGCCGCCTTTGACTGCTGCTGCTGCACAGGAGACGTGGAGGCAACGGGCAACGCACGGCGGGCGCGAAGGGCACAAAGCTGGACTACCGGGCTTCATCCACGCAGCGAGGGGCAGTACTCGACATTCGAAACTTCAAAAAACAAACCAACTTCAGCTCCCCCCCCTTTTTTTTTTTTGGGGCCCAGCGCGGCCTCAAATTTTTGTTTTTCTTTTTTTTTGTTTGTTGATGCGACATCCCACTCGAGCCTACAACACCCCTCCCCAACTTTTTTTTTTTTACCGACCCCTTATTTTCGGGGTGCGCCGCACCCCGTGCGCGCGCGTCGTGCGCGGTGCGCGGTGCGGCGCACGTGCGGGATGCGGCGCACCTCGATGCGCCGCAAGTATGCAAAAAAGTCATCACCCTATGAGCGTCACCCGGAATGGGACATAATTCAGTCATTGCACTGACACTGTCATATTGCCCTGATTTTTTGCTTTTTTTTTTTTCTTGTTTTTATTTTTTTGTGTGATATGTAGGTGCTTTACGCCATGTGTCCAGTTTTGACATGTTTGGATCACTAATGAAGAAGTTGGCATTTCGTCGGATTTGTTGAACGCTTCATTTTAACACTCGGAGAGTGTTTTTGTCTTAGGGTTTTATAATGTTTTTGTGTGTTTTTTTTTTTTTTTTTTTTTTTTTTTCCCGTGTCCTTTGGCCTGTTTGTTTTTTTGATGTTTGCACTATGGGCGTGATAGTTTATTTTTGATGTTCTGGCTGAAAACTGCATCGAAACTGTCGGGCAAAAACAGCGAATTTTCAGCCCTCTGTTAACCGCATGTCACAGGCCCTAGACTCAGACTACTTGGACTGGTGTACCCGCCTAGACCTAACCTACCGCTACTGGACCTCTAAAAATGTCAACTTTTTCACCAACGGGCTCAGCTCAGTTGGTACACCCATGAACTGTTTTTGAAATACAGACCAAAGTTTGAATCCAGACACAGTCAGATGACACAATCATTCTGAATTACCTGGGGCCGGTCAGTTTAATGATGAAATCGCAAGGCTGTTGTCCTTTAGAATGAAAAAAAAAAAGGGTCAACTTTTTGTCTTCTTCTACTTGGCCTCTAGTTCCCGACACATCTATTGCTACTTGGAGTGGTACCGGCCTACCTACTACTTGAGTGCCTACGGGCCTACGATACTCAAGTGAGCCCTAAGTTACCCCGTCGGCCACTTGAGTCTTTTTCCCCGCTGCAACCCCAAAGTCACGGCCACAGGTAAGTAGTGGCCCTGCGGGGCCTCCTAAACAAACAAGTGCTCTTGGGGGCCACACACACACTCAAGCCGACAAGCACTCAGACAGGCACACTGACCAGCAAGCATGCACACATACTGTTACGGATGCATAAAAAACGCCATGCAAACAAAACACGGTATTGCTTATATTCAATCAACCTTAAGTAACACTATAATTACCATAACAGATTCTTTTGGAGATACCAAATCTTGGTCCTCTTCTGGTTCAGTGGGATTTAAAGGATCTCGTCGTGCAACCAATTATGGTGCTCAAGCTACTGCTGCCACGGCTCGATCCCTGGTCTATCTTTTTGCTGTTTCTGCTGCATCCCGTTTTCGGCCTGGCACCCTTTTTTTCCAAACCCCTCCTTTGGTACCGTCGGATTTTGGACAACTGGCGCCATGCTGCAATTCGGGCGCCACTTTCAAATACGACATTTTTCAGTTCTGCCCTTGGGGCTTTTGCGGAAATGCCCCTGGTACCGTACGTGTCACCGGTACTTATACCGGCTCCCCGTACAGTACGGGGACCAGTCTCGTACCAGTTTTCTGCTGCTGTACTCGTACTCAGTGTGACTTGCTGTTTCGGCATTCGGAATCCAAGACGTCTACTTTGTGCCCTTGCCACTGTGTTTGCGTCCGACCCTTAGTCGTGTCCAGTGAGTGAGTGTGTGTGTGCTCTCACTCTCTCCCTCTCTCTCTCCTCTCCCTCGGCTCTCCCTGAGCCCCGCACTCGTCACACTGGTATCGGAGCGGTTCGAACCCGCCCGACCCACCCTGCTTCGTTGTCACCACCTGGCTATCATTAGCATCATCGTCGTGATCGTCGTCGTAGTGCCACTTCATTGTCGTGATCACCGCCGTTGTGCTACGTCATCATCGTCATCGTCGTCCTGGTGCCACGCCATCATCGTCACCATCGCTATCGTCGTCCTCGTGCCACGTCGCCATCGTCGTGCCTGTTGTCCTCGTCGCCGTGCCATGCCATCCTCGTCATCGTCGTTGCTACCTCCGCGCAGATAAGTAATCGACGACAATTTTCTTTTATATTATTTTTTATTTATTCTTTTCTTCTTCTTCTTCTTCTTCTTCTTCTTCTTCTTCTTCTTCGTCGCGACTCCGATCCCGCTCCCGCTCCCGCGCAACCTCCTCTTCCCGACTCTCGATCTTTCCCCCCCTCATGTGCCGTTCTTCCCCCGCCGCGCGATCTTCTCCCTCCAATTGTTCTCCTTCCTCCCCCAATTCTCTTCCCCCCCCCTCCTCCCCCGATCTCGACTTT